GGCTTGGTGCTGGCATCTAGTGCAGTGGTGGCAAACCTATGGCATGCGTGCCAGGGGTGGCACTCAGAGCCCTCTCTGTGGGCACGCGCACCATGCCCCGGAGATGGCAACCGTCCCTCTTCAACTAGCTGCCCGTTAACTCGCCGAGGTCCCACGTGGCCGGATGCATCCCAGCACCCATGCGCTCGCTGGCCTCTGTGTACAGGGGCCGATGGTGTCAGGCAGCAGCCGCCCCGGCCCCTGCCTCACCTTGCCCTGTGACAATGGCACCCCCACCCTGCCTCGCTTTGCCTCGCCTCACCTCGCAGGACGAGCCTCCTGCCCACCGCCCCACCTGCCAGAGACCCCCTGGATCTCCCCCAACCCTGCCCGGACCCCACAGGCGTCCCTCCCCACAAGCAACACTGAGGTGTTCACGCCCACCTTGGCCACACCCATCCAATCTGCTATGACCACCACAGCCATGCCCACCCAGTGGGCCACGCCCACCTGGCACCCAGCAATAAAAAAGTGGGTTTTGGGTTGCAGTTTGGGCACTCGGTCTCTAAAAGGTTCGCCATCACTGATCTAGTGGTTATTCAAAATTATTTTATCTTGCACAAGAATGCCTAATTGTGAGGAGAGAGATATGAGGAAGAAGAAGATACTGCCTCCTAAAGTTTTTAATATGGGATCATGGGCATTGAATATATTTTCAATAGTTACATACAACACATACATACATAGACACACCTGGATTTATTGGCTCATTCAAAGTCTTGCCATTCCAGTAAAGTTTGTGAACTTATTTATTGGCCAACCCAGGAGCCTTTGAATGAGATGGAATAGAAATATCTTTATACGCGAAGGGACACGGCTGCTTTCAAAGGGTTTCATTCAAATAACACAGAAATGTAGAATCTTAACTTATTCCCAGTCTGCCTCACTGCTGGAAAAGGATTACATTTTAAATAGGCTGTGATAATTAACTCACATTTGCATGGGTTTTTAGCACGTGATTGAAGGTTTGAGAAACATGTAAAATTGGAAGAGCTGAAGTTTTGGTCAGGAAAGAAAGAGAAAATATTTTGAAAGATAGGGCAGCAATGCAGAACTTAAACAAGGTCAAGGAGTGTAAGCTGGATGTACAAGGAATGTTTCAAATATTCAGAGTGCTATTGAGAAGCAACATATAAATACCTAAAATAAAGTTACTGGCTTCATTTAAACCACTCACAGAAGTACCTGAAAAATACGTATGTATGTTCCTCACACAATTCTCATAATGGTAAACTATGGTTTGGAATTTCATTCCAAAGCCCTTACTTTTTGAATGAGAAAAAGTGTCAAAAGTGATTGAGTAAAGAATTAGAACCAAGGGTAGGCAACCTTGGCTCTTTTATGACTCGTGGACTTCAACTCAGGAATTCTGGGAGTTGAAGTCCACGAGTCATAAAAGAGCCAAGGTTGCCTACCCCTGAATTAGATGTACAAATCAACAGAACGTTGCAGCCCCTCCTTTCTCACAACAAACACAATCACTGTAGAAGACTGGCCAAAGGGAGGCTAATTTTCAGGGCCTTATGGGGGACCTGTCACCTAACTGAACCTGGGACTAAGGTGTCGCTAGGAGTTAGCCAAAATATGCTGGAGTGACAAAGTACCAGGTGATGTTGGATCTTTTTGTGAATAGTCAGAGCAAAATAAAATATTCTAAAGGAAGTGATTTTTAGGCCAAAGGCTTAGAAGAGCTTCTTTTTGTTTTTCTAGATGACTAATTTCTGAGGTGTACACAACAGCCTTTCTGGATAAAACTTTGAGACGAAATTAAAATTGGGGATTGCGCGGTTCGCCAGTATATCAAATCAGCTTCTGCATGCTGGCTTTTCTTTTTAAATAGATACTGTAACAATATTGGATAACAACATTGTAACAGTAACAATATTGTAACAGCCTTGGATCATGCCAGAAGGTGTAACAAGCGTGCCTCTTAAAACCTTCCATTTTGAAGATTTTTTTTAAAAAAATCACACAGCATGTTTCAAATGTTCCACGGCGTTGTTAGCTCAATTAAAATATGGTGTTCCATCTTTGTGAAAAGTCAGCTAGGGAAAGTGGATTTTTGACAGGTGATCAGTCAGATGGTTTGGGAGAAAGCTGTTTGAACAGCAACTGAGAAAAGTGATCAAATAATTGGAATAGTTATCATTTATCGTATTATTTATGAGAGCCTGTAATTTGCCCAATTTTATAAATGCAGCCAAGGAACCAAACACGTTAAATGTCATTTCTAGGTGCCAGAGCTAGTTTCAGTGGCAATGCTTGATCTCATGATCCCACGGTGCCTTGGCGCATGTACAAAATGCTTTTTTCTCCTATCACAGAAGTCATGTAAAATATGTTCCTGTCTCCATGGTAAACTTAGGTATGCTGTTTGTCTTCTTCATTCTCACTTTCTTCTTTCAATGAAGACAATGCATAAAGAGCAGCTTTTCACTACAGGGTGGGGCGATTTGAAGGGTGACAAAAGTTTTTTTTTTTAGTCCTTCCGCTGAAGGGTTGATGTGAGGATCTTTTACCGCCGGGATTGGAACATAGAATTAACCTTCCTCCTGTTTCAAAAAAGAAGTGCCAGCTTCTATTATAAGCCTGCCATTTTATTTACAAGTCTTTTGTAGGCTGCTTTATTCCCGTGTTGCCCGGCCGACTCTTAAAAACAAATTGTATTATAAAAATTCATGCCAGAGAATAAAGCAAAGAGAAAATAAAACTTCCATTTCAAGGGTTTTTTTTTTTTTTTTTAAAATCTACTTTATCCTATTCTGTCCCCACATTTCTTTTTCAGGCACGGGAGAAAGTGGGAAAAGCACCTTCATTAAACAGATGCGGATAATCCACGGCTCGGGCTACTCTGAAGAGGATAAAAAGGGTTTCACCAAGCTGGTGTACCAGAATATCTTCACTGCCATGCAGTCAATGATCAGGGCTATGGAGACCTTAAAGATCCTATACAAATATGAGCAAAATAAGGTGAGGCTTAGCGCTACAGTTGTTGTTGTTGTTGTTAGTTACGAAGTCGTGTCCGACCCATCGCGACCCCATGGACAACGTTCCTCCGGGCCTTCCTGTCCTCTACCATCTTCTGGAGTCCATTTAAGCTCACGCCTGCTGCTTCAGTGACTCCATCCAGCCACCTCTCTGTCGTCCCCTTCTTCTGTTGCCCTCAATCTTTCCCAGCATCAGGCTCTTCTCCAGTGAGTCCTTCCTTCTCATTAGGTGGCCAAAGGACTTGAGTACTCTGCATTTCTTTGTCCTGTCCAGTTTACAGTTTGTGTGTGTGTGTGTGTGTGTGTGTGAAGGCGTGCAGATTCCAATAATCCAGAGACCCTCCCAAAGAGCAGCGTAAACTAGATTCAGAAGTTGGCTTTTGTTTCGTAAGAAACCAAAGTACAGGTAGTCCTTGCGTTAACGACCACAGTTGAGCCGAAAATTTATGCTGCTAAGTGAAACGTTCGTTAAGTGAGCTTGCCCCACTTTACGACTTTTTCTTGCCACGGTTCTTAAGTGAATCACTGCAGTTGTTAAGTTAGTAAACACGGCCGTTAAGTGAATCTGGTTTCCCCCCTTGACTTTGCTTATCAAAAGGTCGCAAAAGCGGATCGCATGATCCCGGGACACTGCGACTGTCATAAACATAGTGAGGAAAGGGTGACCAGGGTCGTAAGTGTGAAAAATGGTCATAAGTCACTTTTTTTCAATGCCGTTGTAACTTGGAACAGTCACTAAATGAACGGTTGTAAATCGAGGACTGCTTGAGTGTCTGTCCCTAGGTAGTGAGACAAAACCCCTTTTTTCATCTCTTTTATCCCAGTTTGTTGGGTGCCATATTTTTGGATGGTGCATGTCCGATGAGTCTAGACTGGGGGTCTCCAACCTTGGCAACTTCAAGACCTGTGGACTTCAACTCCCAGAATTCCCCAGCTGGGAATCTTAAAAGTTGCCAAGGTTGGACACCTCTGGTCTTAGAGGAAAGGGTGCTTTTTATGGATGGAAATGCTCGGGGGAGGGGGGGAGAACAACTGCTGATTGACCATCAGCTGAATTTTGCACTGGATCCTCCTGCTGTGTTGCTGTCGTTATCATGTAGCTCCAGCAATAGGATAGGAAAAGGAAATGAATAAATAAAAGGCCGTTCCTGCTGAGAGGGCGGGGAATAAGGTCTGAGTAAGCCATTAACGCCAAATTTGCTCTCTCTTCTCATCCCGAATGAAGGCCAATGCACTACTGATCCGAAAAGTGGATGTAGAAAAGGTTTCGTCCTTTGAACAACCCTACGTAAGTGCAATTAAGACATTGTGGAATGACCCAGGAATCCAAGAATGTTATGACCGGCGGCGAGAATACCAGCTCTCTGACTCCGCTAAATAGTAAGCCAACTTACTCTCACTTTGTTTAATAATAATAATAATAATAATAATAATAATAATAATAATAATAATAATAATAATAATAATAATAATAAGTCTTGGTGATGGTGATGATGATAAGAAGAAGGAGAAGGAGAAAAGAAGAAGGAGGAGGAGGAGGAGGAGGAGGAGGAGGAGGAGGAGGAGGAGGAGGAGAAGAAGAAGAAGAAGAAGAAGAAGAAGAAGAAGAAGAAGAAGAAGAAGAAGAAGAAGAAGAAGAAGAAGAAGAAGAAGAAGAAGAAGAAGAAGAAGTAGTAGTAGTAGTAGTAGTAGTAGTAGTAGTAGTTGGAAGGCAGGTCACTGAACAAACGATCGTAAATTGAGGAGCACCTTTATGATTGGAGATACGATGATTTCATCAGAGTCAATAGGGCTACAATTTTGGGATGGTTTAAATTTACTTTGATGTCCGTCAACTTTTCAAAAATTGTAACAAGAGGTTAAAAATTAGACCGCTAAGAATGACCCAGTTTGCCATCAAATTGTAAGTAGCATGATCTTTGAAAGCTGTAAATCAAATAAGCGCTCTTGCTGTAAATGCACATCCTTCCTCTTTAATATTGTATTCAACAGTTCTGAAAACATCCAAGCATTGCCTTCCAGGTTTCTCCCAAAATGCCCCAAATAAATATCCTTATGAGCCTATCTTAAAGGAACAATGAAAAAGCCCGTAAAAAGAAACATGAAAGCTTCCCACGTCGCCTCTGAAAATGTTTCAAGCATTGCAATATCTTCCCTTCCTGAAAACTTAAAAAGGAAGACGGACTTTGGGAAGTTCCTTTTGTTGACTAGCCTGCATTCCCTTCTGTGTAGTTTTAATACGTTGGTTTTGGTACTTCCCTCTGGGACTATAGAAACCATTCCTCCTATGTAACAAGCTCTTACATTATTACAGTATTATGCATTTGACCAACTGATGCATCTGCTCTCAGTTGTGCCTTCTGTAGGCCTTCTGGGTCCCTTAATCCTTCTGTAGAGGGCTTGGTTTCCAGTCTCCTTTGAATTTTGCTAACTCTCCTCTGAATCTGCTCCAATTTGTCCCTGTTCCTTTTGAACGTTGGTGCTCAGAATGAAACAAATTAGGGCAAAATAGAGTAGATTGTGACTTCCCACTTTCTGGACATAGGAAAATATTTGCCTTTTGCGCTCCTTGGCTTTACATTGGAGGAAAATGGTGAGGAAAAATGGGTGTTGAGGCAACATTGGTGGGGGTGGAAGAAAATATTTGGACTTAAGATTTAGCGGTCTTAATCTGCTTGATATTGATAGTCATATTGAAGGAGCTACACAGGACCCATATGCCTCTGTGGCAGGGGTCTTCAAACTTGGCCCTTTTATGACTTGTGGACTTCAACTCCCAGAATTCCTCAGCCAGGCACGCATGCCTGGCTGAGGAATTCTGGGAGTTGAAGTCCACAGGTCATAAAAGGACCAAGTTTGAAGACCCCTGGGCTAGACAGTCTAGGACAGAGGTCTCCAAAATTGGCCACTTTAAGACTTGTGGACTTCAATTCCCAGAATTCCTCAGGCAGGCACGCTGGCTGAGAAATTCTGGGACTTGAAGTCCACAAGTCATAAAAGGGCCAAGTTTGAAGACCCCTGCTCTATGGTGATGGTCCTTCCCTCTTGATCTTTTGCTGTGGTCTGGATAAGGTTGTAGTTTCGCTGTTTGTATTGATCAATAGGTCTTCTGAAATCTGACAGGCCTCAGGATCTCAGGTTCATTTCTGCATTGTGCCTCTGAATAGCACCCAAATTAGAGTCCTTGGTCCATGCATCCAGTTGTGTGAGTGGGATACCCAGCTGTGTGCAATTCCTAACACCCCTGGACTGGAAACATTTGGCTGGTGAAAAAAAAAATGAAATGTACCACCCTCTCTTCCTTGCATATCAATAGAATAGCTGCTGGAGGAGGAAATCCTTCTCATTCACTTACATCAGTGATGGCAAACCTTTTAGAGGCTGAGTGCCCAAACTGCAACCCAAAACCCACTTACGCATCGTCGGGTGCCGGATGGGTGTGGCCCATTGGCTGGGTGTGGCCCATTGGGTGGGCGTGGTTGCGGTGGTAATGGCAGGCTGGGTGGGACTAAAAAGTTCAGTCAATCAATTCCAATTTTGCAAGATCTTTTTTTTCCCACGAGAAGTTGAAAGTGACTGATTGATTGAATCTTTTTTTTTTTTTGCACATGGCGTCGGAAGCCTAAAGCGAAAAGGTTTTATAAAACCCAGCTGAAGGCCTAGGACTGGGGCGACGGTGCGAGTGCCCACAGAGAGGGCTCTGAGTGCCGCCTCTGGCACCCGTGCCATAGGTTCGCCACCACTGACTTACAGCTCCACCAATTTAGGGAAGGTCGAGCCAGGTTAGGAATAGGAAGAGAGCTGTTAAATCTCCTGTCTCTTCAGAAGGAAGTAGCTGATACTATAGATTCAGTATCACCCCAAACGTGGCAACTTTTTAAAGACTTGTGGACTTCAACTCCCAGAATTCCCCAGCCAGGCTTGCCAAATTTGGAGAGCCCTGCTGTAATTCACAGCCACGTCCTTTGCTCTGTGTTTTGTCTTTGGGTGAATTGTTAGCAGGAGAAGTCCTATCTTTGCAGAGGATGGGAAGTTAGATAAAAGAGATAAGGAGAACAAAGATAGGGAGGGAGAGTAAAGAGAGGGACGAAGACTACAAACCCGCTCTTTTGGAGGTTGGGAACATTTGTGCCTTGCGACAAGCAGAGAATATATACATTCTATGTCAGTGATTGCGAACCTTTTAGAGACCGAGTGCCCAAACCACAACCCAAAACCCACTTATTTATCGCAAAGTGCCAGGGCCGCATCAGCATTGTGGTGCCCTCAGGGGGGGTGGGTGGGCGTGGGCGTAGCCCACTGGGTGGGGGTGGCTGTGGTGGTCATGGCAGACTGGGTGGGGGTGGGCGTGGCCACCTTGATGTTGCTCGTGGGGGGACGCCTATGGGGGCTGGGCAGGATTGGGGGAGATCCAAAGGGTCTCTGGTGGATGGGGCGATGGGCAGGAGGCTCGTCCTGCAGGGTGAGTCAGGGTAGAGTGGGGGTGCCATTGCTGCGGGGCAAGGCGAGGCAGGGGCAGCTTCTGCCTGACACCATCAGCCCCTGTACACAGAGGCCAGCGAACGCATGGGGGGCGCTCTCTACTACCTCTACTTGAGCTTGCTAGCCAGCTGCTTCGCCTCCTTTGTGCTGGGTGGGGCTGCCACTCCGGGCACAAGCAGCGGCCTAATGGACCTGCGCGAGCTGGCAGCGGTGGCGGCAGGTGTGCCCACACAGAGAGGGCTCTGAGTGCCGCCTCTGGCATGCGTGCCATAGGTTCGCCATCACTTTTCTAAGTTCTTGGATCTAGGATATTGTTGGAAACCAGTCTTGAAAGTTTGAGCAACTGAGCAGTCCTTCTGTGTCGGGGGCTCTTTTATCATTTTGTGTTATAATCTTCTCTCTTCAAAGGCACGTAATGTGGCGGCCAAACTTAATCCTCTTTAATCTTTCCCTCACACGTGCTTTTTGCAGCTACCTTACTGATGTGGATCGTATTGCCACCCCAGGGTACCTCCCAACCCAACAAGACGTCCTGCGGGTCAGAGTCCCAACCACTGGGATCATAGAATACCCCTTTGATCTCGAGAACATTATATTCAGGTAATTTTCGTTCACGGGCATCTTGATATTTATAGTGTGCCTTATGTAAAAGCATAATAAGGTAACATGTGTCTGTGGAATTTGGGCTTTAGCCAGTGGGGGAAACAAATGCCTTTTCTTACCATGTGTCTCCGTGTCTTGTTGATAAATGAAGCCTTTCCAAGAGATTGTCACTTTAATGTGGTGGAAGAGCTCTCTAGCTTTTATGACCCTGACCACGATGTCATCAGGAGTCCCCTCTATAACATCAGCTCATATGGCAGCCAATTTTGGTCTAGTGGTCAAGGCATCAAGGCCAGAAACCAGGAAACTTCAAACGTGAAAAGGACAAGAAAAGCAATATAAAATAAAATTTAAAAAAATCGGAAAATGTGCAGCCAAGGTAAAACTCCTCAAGAATAATTAAGAAAAGGACTTTAATACAGGCCTGTTAGAAGGAAGATGGAGAAAGTATACAGCAGTGTTTCTCAACCTTGGCAACTTTACGATGTGTGGACTTCAACTCCCAGAATTCTCCAGCTAGTGTTGCTAGCTGGAGAATTTTGGGAGTTGAAGGCCATACATCGTAAAGTTGCCAAGGTTGAGAAACACTGGTATACAGAAACATTTAGTGGGAAACAGGATTACCATAGAAACATTTATAGAGAAATTAAATTTGACGTCACCGGAAAGTGAGATATGACAGGCAGTACAGTAAGACAATACAGGCGCAGTTGTAACGCCCATTTAAATGTTAGGAGAAGAGTTAAAGTAAGAACAAACAAATATGTTGTCAAGTGTTATCCAAAAATATGGAACAAAATGATGTGACCATTGGAAAGGATAGACAGTGCAGGGTGGCTTACTTTTGTTTATTGATTATATATGATTAATTGGTTTATGCCAGAATGTAGAAGAGATTAAGACTAATTGTGAATCAGAAAACTTGGTTTTTGTAGTACCATTTAGGGCAGGGTATCCAGCCATGGCAATTTTAGGACCTGTGGACTTCCAACTCCCAGAATTCCCCAGCTAGCTGGGAATTCTGGGAGTTGAAGTCCACAGGTCTCAAAGTTGCCAAAGTTGGACACCCCTGCTTTAGGGGAATTAGAAGCTGCTGAACTTTGAGCAGTTCAGAACAGGTAAGGAAGCGAGGCAGAGATTCATGTTATCGCCATCTTTGCAAATTACAGTTGAGTTATAAGAATGGGCAGGATTAGAAAAGTGGGCATCAGAAATTATTGTGGCCGAGTTGCTTAAGATTACACCGGTTACTCTTGGATGAAAGTAAAGAAGAGCTAGAAAACCTAATTATAAACACAACAATGGGAAGTGACTAATTTGAGTTCATGTTAAATATTAAAAAGATAAAACCCGGTGTGAATTTGCTGTTGACTGTGAAGAAATGAAGGTGGGGGATGTATTTGTTTTTTTGGGCTGAGGAATAGATAAACATGGTAGAGCTTGCTGGAGACAGAAAGAGGAGATCAATCTTAGGGAGGAAAACAATGGCAAACAGAGATAAGATTAGGGAGGATTTCTATGACAACAAGGATCATAACAATAAAGCAGCCGTTTTCCCAATGGCAATATATGGCTATCAAACCTGGGGAGAGAAAGCCAAAAGACGCTTTTGAATTACGCATTTTGAGATGGTTACTGGGTTTAGTAGCGCTCTTGTTTTGAAGAGTGAGAATTAGTCATTCAATCCTGGGCCTGTCTTGTGTCTGTCTGTCTGTCTCTCATATTTGTTAACCAACCACCTCAGTCATCAAACTCTGGGCAGTGGACTACAGAGTAATAACAAACCAAATCTCCGTAACTAATAAAATAAATCAGTTAAAGATAAAAACAAAAATACACAGATACAGGGGAAGTGTCTTATGCCGATCAGCTGGAGCTAAAAACTCTTTTTGGGGAAAAAAAGGAAGGTTTTCTTAATCTTCCGAAAGAGAAATGAAGGCACCTTCTGAATCTCTTTTTGGGAGGAGCGTTCAAGTCAATGGATTCCTGGTGATTGTTTGGAATAGCAGCTGACTTTACGCATAAAGGGGGGGGGGTTAGGGGGCTAGAACTCACACCAGTAGATTCCTGGTTTCTAGCTCAGTGTTTTTAACCCACTATACCAGGGGTAGGCAACCTTGGCTCTTTGATGACTCATGGACTTCAGCTCCCAGAATTCCTGAGCCAGCAATGCTGAGGGGACAGGGAGAGGTTTCCAAGCTGAGCCACGCTGGCTGAGGAATTCTGGGAGTTGAAGTCCACGAGTCATCAAAGAGCCAAGGTTGGTCCTACCCCTGGACTAGAGTCATACACAGCGGAGGTGTCCCACCTTAGCAACTTTACGACTGGTGGACTTCAACTCCCAGAATTCCTCAGCCAGCTATGCCGAAGTCCACAAGTTGTAAAGTTGCCAAGGTTGGAACCCCCTGACATGCAGTACCTCAAGCTTGGTCTCACTTAGTACAATGATACTCAGGAAGAGCTTCTGCATAAAATCTGGACACAGTGATCAGTTGCCTGTTCTTTCACCTAGTGGCAATGTAATAGTAGCATGTTAGGCTAGAAGCCTCCACAAAAAAGATGGATTGTAGCAGGGGATCTAAAGGAAATAATTACTTTGTTTCAGCTTCATGGAAAGCCACTCCATCAGGGCTCTTCAAACTTGGCCCTTTTATGACTTGTGGACTTCAACTCCCAGAATTCCTCAGCCAGCTATGCCGAAGTCCACAAGTCGTAAAGTTGCCAAGGTTGGAAACCCCTTATATGCAGTACCTCAAGCTTGGTCTCACTTAGTACAGTGATACTTGGGAAGAGCTTCTGCATAAAAGCTGGACACAGTGATCAGTTTCCTGTTCTTTCACCTAGTATATAGGGGTAGGCAACCTTGGCTCTTTTCTGACTTGTGGACTTCAACTCCCAGAATTCCTCAGCCAGCATGGCTGACTCAGGAATTCTGGGAGTTGAAGTCCACAAGTCAGAAAAGAGCCAAGGTTGCCTACTCCTGACCTAGTGGCAATATATTAGTAGCATGTTAGGCTAGAAGCCTCCACAAAAAAGATGGATTGTCACAGGGAATCTAAAGGAAATAAGTATTTCGTTTTCGGCTTCACGGAAAGCCACTACATCAGGGCTCTTCAAACTTGGCCCTTTTATGACTTGTGGACTTCAACTCCCAGAATTCCTCAGCCAGCATGGCTGACTCAGGAATTCTGGGAGTTGAAGTCCACAAGTCATAAAAGGGCCAAGTTTGAAGAGCCCTGCAGCTACATGATTATCTTTTGCACACCAGCCTTGCTGGTCCCCCCAAATTCTGCTGCAAATGTATTGGATACTCTTTTGGGGGGGGGCTTGGGGAATAGGGAGCATTGACCAATCAGCAAGCATTCACTGCTTTTTATTTTTTCTTCCCTCGTCCCTTCAGAATGGTGGATGTTGGAGGGCAAAGGTCAGAAAGGAGGAAGTGGATACACTGCTTTGAAAATGTAACTTCCATCATGTTCTTAGTAGCTCTTAGTGAATACGACCAAGTCCTGGTGGAATCCGACAACGAGGTAAGCAAAATTGCTGGCATTGCCGGCATTGGCGTGCGGCGTTTGGCGGGCCGCGACGGCAAAGAGGCCGAAAAACTCTTACCTTGTCCAATATTTTTAAAAGAGATGACTTGGGACATCCTAGCGACTGTGCCTTTTCTCTCTCTGCTCCTCTCCGCTCTTCCACATTTGTGACCTTTCGCCCTGCAGCACCAGTGAGCAAAACGACTTAAGAACAAATACGCAGGCGGTCCTTGACTTACAACCGTTCATTTAGTGACTGTTCCAAGCCACTGAACGAAGTGACCTCTGACCGTTTCTCACAGGAAGGACTGTGGTAGCATCTCCGCGATCACGCGATCAAAATTCAAGACGCGTGGCAACTGCCTCGTATTTACGACGGTCGCGGTCTCCCCGGGTCACGCGATCCCCTTTTACGGCCTTCTGGCAAGCAAAGTCAACGGGGG